TGAAATCATTCACAATCGCGCATTGCTAATTTTTATCAATACTTAATTGTTCTCACTGTCAATATTTTTGTTCATTTCATTACAATTCATATCGCGAATAATTCACTAAAACATTTGGCCAAACGTTTTGACATTATAAAAATGGCAAAATGAGACATAAATCAATGTATGCTATCTCTTTTGGCCTACGACGGCACGCAGTAGTTAAACAAAGACAATAAAATGTTTATGTTTTCACCGTCTAAATGAAAATATCTAAATATCTAACATTGACTTACAATTATAATCAATTATAATCTAACGTCTGATTTATATACGTCAATATAACATGTCCTTGGATTCCAAGATTCAAATCATTCAAATAGATACCTTTTTTTTTTTGACGGGGAAAATTTTATAGATACCCCTGAGCTCAGGGAGACTCAGGGGTTATGTGGGGACTCTTCCTTCAGACTGGAGTCGGCGCCGTGGGCTCGGCGAACATTCACCACGATGCCGCCCGACCGCCCCAGCTTGCGCCAGAACTCTGGCGATGGCGGACAGGTCAGTTGTCTTCCGACCCGCCCCCCAGACGAGTGGGGCCGTGGCCGTGCAATGCAGGGTCCGGAGTCCCTGTCCAGAGCCCGCTGGCCTCACTAGGGGATTAGGCGAGCAGCGAACTGCGTTTGCAACATCCGCAGCACCGCACTCGTGGCACGACGGGGACGGATCCCTCCTCGCCACCTTGTGCAGGTAGTGACCGAAGCAGCCGTGCCCGGTCAGCACCTGCACAAGGTGGTACGATAGTGGCCCGTGGAACCGGCTCACCCACTTTACGAGGACAGGACGGATCGCCCCTATGGTACGAGCTCCATCGAGGGGGGATCCGCCAAGCCCTCTTTCCACCGGTTCCGCATGCGCTGCGCCGCGAGGCGGCGCTCCCGTTCGACCTCTTGGGGAGCGGGGCGCTCGCCTCGGTCCCTCTTTCCCCGCCGGTAGGCGCAGACCTCCGCCTTCGAGTTTCCACGGCGGAGTACCGGCGAAGACGCATACGGCAGCGCAGGACACCGTCATTTTCCTACTGCTGATAAGGCCCCACTCTAAATGGGAGCCCCGTATAGAGCCATACTCCGGGTCATCCCGGCGTATAGCCTTCTGCATGGGGTACCCAACCTCCCTGAGCAGGAGCCGACCCAACGCCGATGCGGTGCCCACTATTCGGGGTGCAAGTTGCCGGAAATGCTTTCCGAAGTTCCGTCGCCGGTCCACGACAAGGCCCAGGTATTTTATCTGGGACCTGACCGGGACCGATACTCCCGCGATGGAGATGTGGGCGCCGGCCAGCACCGCCCAACCTTTGCCCCTCTCGCCGTAAACGGCCACATCCGTCTTCGGCACAGCGATCTCGAGCCCCAGCAATTGTACTCGGCGAACCACCATGTCTGCCGCAACTGAGGCTCTTCGGGCCGCCTCCTGGAAGGTGGTCCCCCGGACGGCCACCAGTGTGTTATCGGCGTACGCGATGACCGCCGTCCGGGTTCAAATAGACCCCTGCCTATGTGTATATTGCAGGTACTTAACGTCGCGTGTTGTTAGTGACGTGTTCCTTGATTTCAATATATTCTGTAAAATTGGAAATATGCCAAGTTTCTGGCGACATTTCATTTTCTCAGATTACTCATTTAAATCACTGAAATAGAAACCATACCTATCTTCTCAATCAGACATAATAACGTCAGAAGGATTTAGAGCGTATACGAGACACGTGTGAGAATGTTATATAAGTATCTCTCACTAATTAACTATCTCAGAATGGAATGTGGGGGTAGGTAATATTTGTCACTCTAAAAGGGTTTGCTACGCAAGGTTGACATACGTTTGTGGTGGCTCATTAGTGTAAATTACGTTTTCAAATTATTTGACCATTGATCTAAAGTGATCCCACAAAAGTCCGATCTTGCATAACCAATCTAAAAGTAGTGTCATACGTGCAAGAATTTAGTTTATTAGATAATACGAATTTCAAACTTTAGCTGCTTATGGAAGTAATGTACCTAATTAGATGAATAAGATTTAGTCAAAACACGTTAATTACCTTAAAAATTTATTTTCCATTTTAAAATATATCCTTAATTAAGTACATTATATTTAGTATAATTTTAAATTAAATATAACAATTATAAGTATTTATTATGTATGAATTCACATTTCTAAGAAGTATAAATATGTGATGCATAGATAATAAAATTGTGCTTAAAATTATACTGTGAATGAAATGCACTATTTATGGACTGAACGGCGCTAAAATGGCGCAATAATCACTGGTTTTTACATGATTTGATGATATGTGTAACATGTTATATATTCTGTATATAAACTATATAAAAGTAGTCTATATTTAAGGCAAGATGGCCACGGCTATGGCTAACATGATACAATGTTACTTTTGGTATGTTTCTTAGACATTATTCTACTTATAATTTATAATATTGTGTATAATTCAATATATGGACCGAATCACGTTTCAAGTTCGGATAACATCGAGCAATTAAAGAGATTCGATTCGGCCAGTAAATATTTAACAATTTTTATTTATCTTCCACATAATAAATAGTTATCAACATGTAGATTTACAAATATCAACAAAATAAATTACGAATAACAGCATATTACAAGAATTAAAATTAACCTTACTAATCTAGATTCTGTGATCTCTACTCGGTCTAGTGTCCCTAACTTGTACTATGTCGTCGGCTACATCTATTTTCTGTGAAGTATTATATTTTAAAAATAAGTAGTTATATAGATCAACGCTGCTTAAAACCAGATTTAATAATAATCAATCACTTTCTTTAATCAATAATTACCATTGAGTTATAAATATATTTCCGTGGCAGTAAGTACCTCCTTATGTTAACATGTATTTTTTCAACTTTCATACCTGTGAAAGTTGAAAAAATACATGTTAACTATTTATCTGAAACTGTCGTAGTACCTAACAGTCTCAGTGATGAGAGTGAGAAGTGATGTCCCAACTTTTTACAAGATTCTTTTGTATTAATAGTCGAAAAAACGATGTGAATGTGAAATAGACAGCCGACGAACGTCTAAATTCATTACTTATATTAAAATTACATGGACTAGTAATTGAATTATTCTAACTAGTAAGTACCCTATACCGCTTTGGAGAACAAAATACAAATATTATAAGGGCTAAATCGTTTGCTTCACAACGATACAGTTAAGTAGAATTCTTAAAATTAATGTTACCTACTTCTTTACCCCTTTATTGCTCTCCGACCTTAAGCTAAATAACGTCCCCTTTAGACTTATTGAGCAACGTGGACATGTTAATACAGACCTAGAAAATCTAGAATTATATTATTTGTATCCTATTAGTGTTGCATGCCGACAACAGTAAAACTATCTATAGTCTCCTGGACTATCCAGGATGTTATTAATAGGTGAAAAGGGTCATTGCCATCGATGTTCGCAACACTAATACCATTGTATAATAAGACAGGTATGGTAACTCATTACAAATGTAGCAGCGCGGTTTGTATGTGTGCGCGCCGGTCGCGTGCCGTATACGGACGCACACGTCCGCATAATTTCGCGATGCACTCGCGTTGTATAGCGCTGGTCGTCTATGCGCTTTTATTATGCGTATATGCGCGTCCGTACACAGCGCCGTATTCCATGCAAATATATAAGCCGCGCTGCTGCGTATGAATGGAATTACTATACTTGTTTAAGTATACTATGCTAATACCTTTACAAAATTATCATATTTGGATATTTATAAAGACCTTACTTTCAGTTCGCCATTATAGTCCATAATATGTATGCTTGTACATATTATTTTTAATCTTAATCAATTAGATGTTATTTTATTACCATGAATATACTTGACAGAACTTAGTAAGGTACCTATACTATTTAGTGTCATTTGTTTGCATAGTTGATACCAAGTATGCTGACGGCATTTCATCCGTTGAACGTAGTGCGGTATATTTTTAACCGACTTCAAAAAAGGAGGAGGTTCTCAGTTCGACTGTATTTTTTTCTAAGTATGTTACGCGATAACTCCATTTGAGAACAGATTTTGAATGATTCTTTTTTATTGGAAAGAGGGTAACTCAGTAGTAGTCTCATTTAAATTTGAAGAAAAGATTCACTCTAAGGGAGGTAAACTAGGGGAAGTATCCGGTTTCGCGCACTTTCCGGTAACCGATTTCAATTAAACCTGAACGAACCAGATTCCACGAACTTTTGAGGTCGGTTTTTTTAGTACTCTGTACTGATTCCATCTAGTATTCAAAACGGAGTCAAAGTAATAGGGAAGCTTGTAAATTAGCAAACTAAGAAATGTCGTATTTAAGTGATAGTATAATTTTAATTAATAAGGCAAAGATTTAACTAAGTAGCTGCCTCACAGCTGTATTGGAAGAATAGATTAGATGAGGTGTCATTACTAAAATACACCTTACACCTCTGGTTAGCGTTCGTAAAAACTTCTTAGATAGTTAAAATTTTTGAAAAATTTGCAGCAATATTAGGTAATTTAGGTAAGTACCTACTACTTATTATTGTCATACAACAGTTTTACTAGATTTGCTTTCAACGCTATACTGAACATATAATATTTAATAAAATATAAAGGAAGTTTGTGTTATAAAATATACCTAACTAATGTAGTATAGTATAAAAATAGGAAATATGTGTGAAGGAAGTTGAATGGCTGAGGCAAGAACATCGCTTGACATAGATGTTTAGTATAATGCATTAAGTAGCTTCGATTTATCTACACATAGGACTATGCTTACATTGTATAATTTAAGTTATCTACAAGTAATTCCATCACCGTTAATCTTGCTGAAATAATTAAGAACCGAAATAGCGTCTTATGCTAACGATATAGAGCTCAAAGCTTTGGTCGTTCCGTAATTTTGGTTGATACATACAGCTTCTAGTTTCTATTCTAGACATCATATATGTTACTAAATATTTGGCTTTCCTGCGGTAACGAACGAAATCCTTTCAATTCATCTTTAAAATAACTTCATTGGCCTATAAGTGCTGTTTGCACATCACTATTACTTTGTCATACTGCTACGCTTCTCATGCACGGCCCGTTCGTGAGTACACCACCGAAGTCTCCGCTTAGATCCACTATTACCTAAGTAACTATACCTCAACTGAAATATTCAGTCAGTTTTAAACCGACACTAGCCTTAAAACTCCAAATCAAAACTAACGTATAATCTACTGTTAAGTTTCGTCGATGATGTAGCCACGGGGTTGGGATCGATGTCAGATTACTGCATCCTCGCCTCCTGCAGTTGCGGAGGATACGAGAGCGGAGGAAGGAGGGGAGCCTGTACTCCAGCTCCGGGGAGCGCATAATAGGGTGAAACGTAGCTCGCTCCACCTGCAGCCGCCGCCGCTGCTGCTGAAACCAAAGATATTGAATTTTTATAACGGGACTTAAGTATATCGCGAACTGCGACAAATTTATAATTAAATTCTAGGAATTGACATATCTCATTTTATGGTAGGAGTCCTGAACACTTTCATATTAGTAGCAGTAGAGCACCTTGTGAAAGAGTTCGTCCAGGGAAGTACTGTCACATTACCTATTTCTGCCGCCAAACAGCATTACTGTGTTCCGGTTTTAAAGGGTAAGTGCTGTTGAAATTACAGGCACGCGCGTGGGACTTGTCAACTTATGTCCCAGGGTGACGGGCGCAGTGGCAGTGATCCTATCGATTCATCATATCAGATCCTAGCGATTTAAAGCTCTGAGTGGCACTGCAACTGCTATGGACAGCCATGTAGCTTGCCATCAGGCGCACAACTTGTTCGTCCCGTCATTTGATATTATAAAAAAAATAATTGAAAGCGAATAAATACACGCACCTGCTGCTGTAGCGTAAGGGTCGAATCCAGCTGCAGCGTATTGCTGTTGATAGGCAGCAGCTCCCTGAGCTGCGGCCGCTTGATATTCGTACAGGTGGTTGGCTGCAGCGACGGCAGCGGCGTGTTGCAGCTGTGGCAGCTGCACCAGCCCGCCCGCACCCGCGCCTACCCCCGCACTCACCCCGCCCACGGTGCCCATAGCGCCCATGTAGCTTGGCGCGCCATACACGTATCCAGGAGACAGCCTGACAAGCATATGTATTGTTAATTAATTGGCCTTCTCAAAAAGCAGCGTCACACACTTAGGGAATACGGTGTCAATAACAATTGGAAACATTAAAATTACATTAGTCACCGTTTACGTTCTGTTTCTGGTATTCCCGAGCGTGTGATGCTTAGATCTCCCGTTATAGATTCACCCACGATCCTTACTGAAATATTGTTCACTTCAGAATCGTGCGAAAAGCTATCGCATTGCAAAATTAATACTTTTCAAAAACTGTAATCACACTCTATAAGTACCTAGCCCCATTTGCAGCCTCGACAGGCACGAGCAATCTAGTCTTGTTATGTTAGTAGACATCGATAAACGGTTATGTAATATGTAAGTATATGCGCCTGATCATAGCCTGGGCTTAATGCCGTGGAGGATCCGCCGTGCGTCATTGCCGCAGAAGTTTAAAAAAATTATTTAGCGAGCTGCAACATCCACTCCGCTTCGCCAGAAATATCCACGCCGCTAGTATTTTCTTATCGTTAATTTCGTCTCACTCAGGGACCGTGAAGAAAATTAAGATTTAGAGTCGGCTTGTGTCAATTACGAAATGTTGGAAGTGGTAGAGTATTAAATTAGGAAAAATACCTAGACGATGATTTACATTGTAGACGACCCCATTTACCAGAGATTATTTTATAATAAAATTAATTAATATGGTAGAAGAAAACTTTGTATAACCTCTTATATTTGAAACTATGTAATAGGATTCAAAATGACTAACGACGACGCGAATCCGCAGATTTGGCTCGCCAGCACGAAGGCGAAGGCGGTCAAGTGCACTCGAGGAGCTTCGGCTCCGTCAGCAAATTTCTAAGGGCTCTCAACTTCGTGGAACCTTGATGGGAACCCTAGTTTTTCTAATTGTCGTTGTCTTTTTCCTTCGTGTGTAGAGTAATAAAGACAAATTGGTTGATTCAGCAGATGAGTGTGGTGGTGGAAAGCGCAGGCGCGGAACACGCCCGCCCGCCGGCTCCGCCCGCCTAGCACGCCCACCTGTGGTGTCCCAATCCTATCAAAACTCATACCTATTTATTTAAAATGACTTGTTTTCTATTTTTTTACCTAATGTATGTGCTTCAATAGCATTATCCTACAGAGATCTATAAATGGATTATTTTTCTATAATATTTGTCGTAACTACACAACGTACTACCTATAACAAAACGAGTGTGTATATATTTTTACGAATTATTAAAATTTTAATAAACGTTCGAATAGGTACTTAGAAACATGTGTTACTGGGGTGGTTATAAAATTTTGTTAAATTTAGAGTACTACATTCATGGGCTATATTTGATCTATTAGACTAAATAATCTTCAATTGAACTATTGCAGACAATCTTCCAATCAGGTAGACAAAGTATTTTTGTAATTGTAACACATCATCATCATCATCATCACATGTAAGTACCTAAATCTATTTCAAGTAAATGGCTAAATTTATATATATTAATTAAGAAAAAATTGCCATCGTTTTATGGACAAAATGTGGACATTACTTAAGATAACATATTGCATTGTTGGTGTAGAGTGTACTAAGTAACACAATCTTCATGAACTTTTCTGGAAGCAACTACGCATTTAGTAAACCCTGAATGTTTCCTCTGTTGCCGAGCTCTAATACATATAGGTACTAAATATTACACAACTAACAGAAACGGAAGATAGAGTCATATTAAAGTAGATACAGGTATTAAACACTCATAAACACTAAACAGCATGAAACTGGCGTAACATCACACTCAAAGCTGCACATCTACTGGCAGGGAACAAACCCGGCAATCATCGCTACCACAGTTATAATAATATCACCCTCCTTAAGGTTCTATTACATGGCAAAATTAGTTATTTTAAATCAGAATGTAGGTACATTAATCTGTGTCGGAAGTAGATTCCTACATAAATAAATTCTTACGTGTAATATAGATCATGCAAACAATGAATACATATGGACTAAAGTTACAAATAACAGGGTCATTATTAAGCAATTGGAATCTATATTGACGGTATTTATGTGGCAAAGGTCCTTTCCTATATACTGACGTAAAATCGCCTACAAATAAAAAATGAGGCGCGCACATAATTGTATTAGGCTTGGTCACTTAATGACCTACGAGCGATCGGAAATAAAAACACAAACCAATTAATATAGTGAAGCTTACACGCTTTCACTTTACTTTTCCAATACGGGAGTAACGATTAATAGTATATTGAGTGGTGGTCGGTCGGGCGGGGCTAGTGGCCCTGGGCACGAATCGATCGCCGGTGATAATTATCGGGCGCATGCCGCTGCACGCCGCACCACACTATGACACCACGACATCGACACCTCGACGGGACAAGTTCGCCAACTGAAAGCGCAGCGAAAGTAGCCGGCCTAGCCTGGGTCTATAAACAGCATTGCGCGCGCGACTGCGGCTGCAGCAACGGTCCTCACCGAGGGGCGAGAGTGCGCTCACACCTACGCACACACCGCGCACCCTCGCCTCTCGGCCTCCGCCGACACACGCTGCCCAAGAACGTGAAGTAGTGAGTGTATTAAACGAAATCCACCACCAACAAAACTCAATTCAAATCAACAAAATCGTACACGAACACGGCATAAAAACATATAAGTAAAGAAAACACTGAGTGTCGAGAACGATGCGTATAGTGCGACGGCGCGAGCGTTGGGCGGCGCGGGCGCGATCGCGCGCTGCGCTGTGTCGAGCCGGCGCCGCCCATGCGCCGGTGTAGCTTCATAAAAAGGAAACATTAAAAAACCCAATCGACTAATTCACACCCAAAACGAAAAAAATCCACTCTCACGCTCACGCTTGCCATAGATACCTATGTGAAAATGTTTGATAATTTAGTCTAGGTGTGGTCCGCCGGCCGCCGCGCCGCTAGCCACCCGGGAACGTCGCTCGCCTCATCTACCGAGACAAAAGTCAGCTCAGCATACTCCAACAACTCGCGCCAATAATTCTTCCTTTCCCACTATTTATATTATTATACATATACCTTTACTATCGATTTACCTAGTTTACAGTGCCCTTATTTTATCTGTACTGCCTAAATAAAATATTGGTTGCGTACTCCTACATCACTGAGTAGTGAAGATATACGATAATCGTAAATAGTCTGCACCATAATCTTCTATCACTTCGACTTATCTACACTTGCCAATAAACCCCATAAACAGTTATGGTATGTACGTTTACGTTAACATTACGTAAACTATGTATGTATAATGTATTAAAGTAAGTACCAAGCTAAGGTAAATAATCTGATTTTTGTCTCGTGAGATGTTCTGAGAGCGGCATGCGGCGCCGCTAGTGCTGGCAAATATCGAAGTGTTGCACCATTGAACATTGATAGGGAGCGACAGACAGCGGATAGTAGACTCACCCATAGTGTGCTGGCAGCACTGTCTGATAACCTGCGCGCACGCCAGCCGCAGCCGCAGCTGCTAGCCCGAACCCTGCAATAATAAATAATTCTTATTTAAAACAATTTAGCACAAACTTTATAACGAAAACAGAACACTGAATTCCGAAAAAATAAATTACGCCTTCATCGTCTAGGTTTGTTATTTTCGTCCTCACTTAACGGAAGTGTCTTCAGAGATCTCTGAACTAAAATATAACTCGAAGAGATTGGACCACTTCCAAATGACACACGAGGCAACTTAGCGCAAGCAACGCCAAAGTGTTAATTTCTTTTTATTGCATTGTTAAGTCGCGCGAGGCGACGACGTCTATTTCTGTAGCTCGTCGCCGCTGCCCGGGCATCGGCATCCTGAGACGTGGCCCTTGACAAGAAAACGACAAACTCCCGCTATAAATGGCTATCGGTCTTTGATTGGTGCTGGCACCAAAATGCAATTTTATTGTATTTAGCCTTTTGTGTATTATATCATCCGTAACAAAAATTGTAATGAACCGTATTCTGGGATATTACAGTAGCGGTGTTTATCTTGCGGTGATTTAAACCTATGATTACATAGGTCACAGTTGGATACTTGGTTACGTATACGGACATTACGAAAATCAAACATCAAGCTACGTTTAGGAACCGCGCCATCATAATAATAGATACAAATCATATTGCGCTGATTAATGGCAAATGACCAAAAGAGCGTGACCCCTGCCGGACTACATCATGTTGACTATTGTGTATGGTGAAATTTCATCGGTGATTACAGCGGATCGCATCCGGAATGGCCCGGATGGTGTTGCGGTTCGACTGTTGCGATAATATTGGGCGACAGCACACGACCTTCTGTGAGACGGTCTCCGTTGCCAACATTGTCCATAGACAACTGCCGCTCGATGCCAATTTCGTCAAACCAGGCAAATCAAGGACTTTACTATTTAATAAGCATTTAAATGCACCCAACTTCAATTACGTTTTTTTTAATTATCTGGGAAAATAGAATTATCGCATAGCATATTAGTTTTTAATATCGTTATTAGAAATACTAGAGGTATTAACCACAAAATTTTGTTGGAATATACTTAGATGGGTTGTTCGCGTGCTCATTGTCCGTGTGATGTGCTACCGCAGTCAATCGATCCCATTTGATGGCCGAGGTCGAACTGCTGTCCACCACAAAGCTTATCTAGATTCATTATTTTTTCTTTTTCCTTTTATTGTACTTACATTGTCGTAAAGCTTAAATGGCTTTTTGTTGCTATACCCACGTCTGTGACCCAGATACATTTCTGTCGTAATCGATTGTCGGTCAATACACAATGACCAAGCGTTCGAATATCCAACTTCTATGCAATGCAGAACAAACATGACGTGGCATTACTACTTCTTTTTTTACAATGAATAATCGTAAGACGCACATTTTCCTCAAAACTAATTGCAAATCTTTTCTAAACAAAGTATATAGTCGCGTAGGTGTGAGTTACAAATAAAGTAACATTTTGTTTTGGATTGTATGTTTTCAGGACGAGTCATGAAAGCGGGTCGTCGAACTGCTAGCCGACAGAAGTGCTTAGCGCTACTTGTAAGGATTCCACGGAAATACGATTTTAGACGCAGTCGAATGAGTGAGACAAGGTTCGAAACTTCCGATAATACAACTTATAAACTTTAAAGACGAATCTATGGTTTTCATAAACTTGTCTATACCAAGTCTAACTAAATAATCAAAGTACGATTTCAGTTAAATCGTCAATTTCGTTTACGAGTTTCGAATCTGTGCAAATGTGCCAACGGAGCCAAAGCTTGCAGTAATAGCAATGAAAATCACTCATTAGTGTAAAACAAGGTTGCTTTGTGCTCACATTGTATAGCATCAATATGTCGTGCAAGTTTACTGGTACAAGAATAGATGTAGACCAGTCGCGGCCCAGTTTCGGATGGCCAAGCCGAACTGTGGTCTCAGGGCCGCGACGATGCCACGGCGGCAGCTAGCCGTGGTTGATGGCCTTTCCTTTGATCTAACCGGTGTCGTACCGCTTCTTGACATACATCAATCAGCTAGCAATATATTATGCACCAGCTTTCGTATACACAGAGATTAATTGCCAACAGCCAAAAATCCAGGTGATTACTTTTTTTGGTCGTAATCACCAGGTGATTACGAAGAAGCACGTGATTGTTTCCGAACACATAATCTTTTTTAAATTAAAATTAGATTGATTTTGCGAATACATATCAGAATTTATGGACGAGCAAGTGCGTTGTTAGACGGCAAAAAAGATACGTTGGCTAGAGGGTCGGTGATCTGGCGCAAAGCCAGAGTTGCGGCGACGTTCCCAAAACTGCGTATATTTAGACAAAATAAAGAGCACGCCGAAGACAAAACGAGACGCAACTCTGTTTTATAAATAACCGCGTCGTTCGCCGGACGGACTCAGCCTCGCGGCCCGACCAACCTCTGCTCGCCAGCTGTTATACATAAATAATAATTAACACACGAAGAAAGTTGAGTACTACGAGTACGAACTACTACACCTCTTTTATGTAGCCTCCACGTACATTCTAAATTACTATACTCAATGATGTAGGTTTGATGGAATAATTTAATTGCTACCAAAATAGGTATAGTGAAGTCTATAACTCAGGCAGAGTTGCACGAAGAGTATTATCTACGATATCGGCGGATTAGCGGAGGATCACAGGGCTTCGTGCGGAAGTCGCGGCTTGGGTTCGAATTACAGGGTGCGCCAGAGACAAAGGGACGGAACCACTAAACTCGAGTGTTCCTGTTCACCGGTCGTTGCCCGCCACTGAAGAAGTCCACGATCACATTCCGAAAGAGTTAATTAAAACCGAAGAGACTACACGCTACCATAAATTTGGCAGACATTTTGGCCCAGATGCCGCACATCCGTATAATGCGGAAGATATGTATGATTATTTACTTGGACCACGTTCAAAAACTCCGAGGTTATTAGCGACCGACGTAGTGAACTAATGTGCCTATCTATTAAACTTAATGAATAGCGTATATGTGCATGTGGAAAAGTTTTTAAAAACTCTTAACAGAATTTCCTGAGCGCTTTTACATTAAATTTATAAATGATCAATAAATAGATACCTACTTTTGAACTAATTCGATGAGACTAAATCTGTTTCCGGGATGTGAACTATTGTGATTTCAGACTGTGTTTTCACGATTTCATGCTCGGAATCACACGCGGACGATGACGTTATGATGGTGTCGGCAGTAATTACATGTTTCCGCTGTCAGATACTTAGGTACAGAGCATTCGTCGCCATCAGTGTATATATAGGTAAATATTACGAATAAGTAAAGGTAGATAGTATCGCGTCGCGTGGTCCGCAAGCCAACCATTATGGCTTCGCTTCATACAATTATAGCTCTGCGCTGTATCGATTGGGACATAAGGGGCTCTTCAAATCATAAATTTAACGAAAAATCGAGACAAGAACCCTATTGTAAAGGAATTTGAAAGTAGAACGTAACAAATCATAAACAATTATTTAATCGCAAAATTAATCATACAAGTTTGGATCATTGAGAAAATTCGATTAACCTTCAAAGAAAGCATATAAAATGTTCAAGTAAAAGATTATCCTTTTGATATTGATCGTTGCCGGCACGTGCGGACCCAACAACGGTGCATCGCCTAAATCTCGAAATAAAAATAGTCACGAGGGTGCCGAGGCGAGTGTGCGCGGGGGCACATGCATAAGTAATGCAACGGCGAAGGGCGCAAACGGCGGCGCACGCGATGCCTGCAATACCACCTACATTCTGTTCTATGAAGGCAAGGACAACCCCTACAAAAGGGCGCACAGCAGCGTACTCGTCCATAATCAATGACAAGTTGCATGCTTAGCTTTCGGGCGCATGTTCATGCTTCAATGACTCAGAAGTGTTGTTAATGTAATTAGACGTTTACATACTCCGTATATCATCCGAAACCTATAAGACGACTATTCTGCATGCATGCAACAAATAAATACAACAGATATATTAATTGACTTATCTCTAAAAGAGATCTTTTCCAGCCAACACAGGGCAGAGACAGCTAAAGGTTATAAGCAGAGTGTGAATGAGAGAGAAATATAAAAAACTACATAAATTAAAAAAAATACCGTTGCTTACATAACTATTACAAATAACCATAATAAATAGCATCAATATACATGCACATAAATATATACACATAGGTACACATACATAGGTACACATAAATATATATGTAAAAAACATAAACAATAAGATGATTGCAATTAAGAAAGTGAGTGCGCAGTCAACCTTTTCTTGAAAGAACTGATCGACGAATTAGACTGGATATTGGAAGGGCACACACTATTTCACAATTTATATGGTTTCTTTGAACGAGACCAGCTGAAGGTAACCCTTTACGAAAGAAGCAAAGTTGGGAAATTCAAATACATTAATTCCATACCGTTATGTAATGTAGTGGGTAACTTTTATTCAGATCAATAATAAATTATCTTGTAATTGTAAGTCGGCTCTATTCACAAACCTCGCAACTCAATTAATGAGAACTTTTGAGTAAGCATGAAAAACAGAATAACCTACTAGAAATAATTATATCACAATATATGATTATAACTAATTTTACAACTAAAGTCTAGAAATTATATTCTAAGCTTTACTTACAAAAAAAGGGGATTTCGTCCAAAGACCCCGTTACGAAGTTTTCAAATTTAACCGACCAATTCTTGTAATAATGTAATACATTTTCTTATTTCCAGGTCTAACAACCTGCAGTGGCAATAACAACCCTACAACGGCAAAGGCGCATGTTTTCAGTTGTTTTCTAGGCAGGTGTGAATCGATTACCACGATGCCCGTACCACTCAATTATTCAACGTGTCCGCCGTGTTTGGACAAGTGCCTCGTCGGCCTTCATCAACACTCTCATATAATAAAACTTTAACAATGTTTTCATATTCTATACCAGGCCTCCAAAATCGCTCGTTAGCAGTAAACTAACCACCGAGACGTATTTAGAAACTAGGCTA